TCATTTGGTATAAGGCTGTGAGAGTTAGTATTTCAAAATATCTTACAATGCAGTGGTAGAAGGATTGACTCTCTTGTTATTGTACAGTTTTAATCATTCATAACCCTCGCGAAGTCAGCACCATTAAAGACCAAGTCTGAACGTTCTGTACTATCTGAAAGCCTGAAGTCCAGACTGTAGAAAGGATTGATGTTCAGCTACAGCACTTTGTGGGCTATCCATTATTAAAATCGTGTCCAGTGAAATGTGTTGAGGGAAAAAAGGCAATTGGGAGAAAATACCACTTTGAAGTCCAGTACTTTACGGAAAGAGAAATGATTATAAAAGACTCGTGGGCTGGGGAAATTTGGAGACTATTAACTAACAAAACTCCCTGTAAGTGAAGAAACACATGAAGAATATAGGGTAGAGCAAGTGAAGAAACAGTCAGTGTGCCACCAAGCTGAGTCTATTTTTTTTTTTAACCCTTTTCCAGGTTTTGCCATCTGCAAAAAAGACTGTAATTCAAAGCAAGCAGGACTCTGCAAAGAAAATCACTCTCCCAGAACACTGTAAGCTGTATTTCAGTGCAATTCACAAGGCAATTGGTGTATTTACTAATAGTCTGAGCAACAACCAGCCACCCGAAGTCTTCATATCCCACAGCAAATTGATCATTATGGTGGGACAAAAGCTAGTGGATTCTCTCTGCCAGGAAACTCAAGAAAGGGATGCTCGGAACGACATTCTCCACAGCAGCAGCTGGTTTTGCAGCCTCTTGAAGAATCTGGCTCTCGCCACCAAAAATGCTGCAATACAATATCCAAACGCAGATGCCATGAGGGAACTTCAGGAGCAAACCGAGGAGCTGTCGAAGTACACCCAGCAGTTTAGAGCAATGATGGAATGAAAGACAAATTGGCTGCTTTTACAAATTCTCCATTGTTCTGATTCTCTCTTCGCTCCTTGGTTGTGTGGCAGCCAAGGGGAGCAAACGCAGCTCAGCAACACCAGCTCTCAGTCACCCCTCAGAGCTCCTGCCAGGCAGTTCCCTGCATGCTGCTGCGCTTTTAGCAGGTGAAGAAGACCCACACAACAGCAGATGCAGAAGAGGAGTTGTAGAATTAAATCTGTACTTTCTTCTCCCTTGTTCAGATCCTGCCTGGAAATATAATCATCTTAGTGGCTGGGCAGGAATGTTTGCTGTGTATTAGAGCAAAATTATTTTATTATCTGATTGATTTCTTATTTTTTAATTTCTGTATAGGTCAGATAAATATATTTCCCCCATTTTTGTGTTATATTCAGGTATGTAAAATCTCTCTTTAAATTCTGCCACACAATGTTCTGTAAGTTGTTATGATATCCCATCATCAATTGTTTCTTGAGGACTTTACTTAAAAATTTGTAATTACAATTTTTTTTTTTTGTTTAAACAGATGCAAAGCTAATTTTTGTTTTTAATGTACAACTGTGATGAATGTATTACAGGACAAAATCTAGCAGGTACTACACCTAGCCTAGATGTTAATGGGAAATGCTCCAGCTGGTACCTGAGCACAGAAGAAAAACTGACTTGGAGGAGTCCTGGTTCCCGATAAATCAGTGGGCAGCGCACCTCAGCCATCGTCCTCCGTCACAGCGTGAAGCTGGCCAGAGCACTGCTCCAACTGAAACAGAATTGGGTTCAGCCACTAAATGTGCCGAGGCTTTGGAGAAGCTCTTCCCACAAACTGAAAACGCGAGGGGATTTCTTGCTGGGCACCCAGAGCACCGGCGCTGGCTCTGGGACTGGCCCGTGCCGCCTCCCATTAAATTTAATTCCAAATTGGCTGGAGTTGAAATACAATGATGAAGGCCCTGTAATCCCCCAGGCAGCCTGTTTGTACGCTGGCGTTATTTGTATTTTTCCTAATTAATTTATTTTAAAGTTTTTATCTGAAATTTCAAAGTCTGGCCTTTCTCGGCAGCATTATACCTGTGTCTTTGCCCCAAAAACGGACAGTTAATTGGGTGAGTACTGTGAGCATGTGAAGGACAACCAGGGGATCAGGCCCAGCCAGCATGGGTTCATGAAAGGCAGGTCCTGCTTGACCAACCTGATCTACTTCTATGACCAGGTGACCCGTCTGGTGGATGAAGGTAAGGCTGTGGACGTCATCTACCTGGACTTTAGTAAAGGCCTTTGACAATGTTCCCCACAGCATCCTCCTGCAGAAACTAGCTGCCCGTGGTCTGGATGGGTTTACTCTTCACTGGACAAAGAACTGGCTGAATGGCTGAGCGCAGAGAGTGGTGGTGAATGGACTTCAATCCAGCTGGTGGCTGATCACGAGTGGTGTTTCCCAGGGCTCAGTTTTGGGTCCGGTCTTATCTAACATCTTTATCAATGATCTGGATGAGGGGATTGAGTGCTCCCTCAGTAAGTTCACAGATGACACCAAGCTGGGTGGGAGTGTCGATCTGCTCGAGGGTAGGAAGGCTCTGCAGAGGGATCTGGACAGGCTGGATCGATAGGCCAAGGCCAGCTGTATGAGGTTCAACAAGGTCAAAGGCCGGGTCCTGCCCTTGGGTCACAACAACCCCACGCAACGCTACAGGCTTGGGGAGGAGTGGCTGGAAAGCTACCCAGCAGAAAAGGACCTGGGGGTGCTGGTCGACAGCTGGCTGAACATGAGCCAGCAGTGTGCCCAGGTGGCCAAGAAGGCCAAGGGCATCCTGGCTTGGATCAGGAATGGTGTGGCCAGCAAGAGCAGGGAGGTGATCGTGCCTCTGTACTCGGCACTGGTGAGGCCGCACCTAGAATCCTGTGTTCAGCTTTGGGCCCCTCAGTACAAGGAGGTCATCAAGTTGCTGGAGCGTGTCCAGAGAAGGGCAGCGAGGCTGGTGAGGGGTCTGGAGAACAAGTCTGATGAGGAGTGGCTGAGAGAGCTGGGGCTGTTCACTCTGGAGGAGACTGAGGGGAGACCTTATCGCTTTCTACACCTACCGGAAAGGAGGGTGTAGTGAGGCAGGCGGGGTTGACGTTTGGACTCGATGATCTCAGAGCTCTTTTCCAACTTAATGATTCTGCGATTCTATCAGTAGTTACGGGCCGTCCACGCTGCGACCGCGCTCGCCATGCCTGCGGACACTGCCAGCTCCGCCACCTGCCCCTGTCCGACCGCCGCTTGCCACTTTGTTACCGTTATTTAAACACCGACAGCTGTAAATATTGCTGTTTGCACACTGAAATGCCTCATTTCACGTTGGCTTTGTCCCCCCCCCCTCCCCCTGTCCGCCCGCCGCTTGCCACTTTGTTACCGTTATTTAAACACCGACAGCTGTAAATATTGCTGTTTGCACACTGAAATGCCTCATTTCACGTTGGCTTTGTACGTTTTGTATTAAATTCACTCCTGGAACC